GGCTAGCTACAAAAGGACCCCAGATAGCTGGCTAGCTAGCCAGCTAGCTAAGTACAGAAAGCATGCTTTCATACAAAAGAAAACAAGAGGATGTTTGCGTCTTTAGGTTTTAAAGGGTTTTACTTTTGGGGTTTTGCTAAAACCTCAAACATAAACCCTAGGGGGTTTATGTTTAGGGTTTAGGGTTTAGGGGGTTTAGAGTTTAGGGTTTTATATTTAGGTGTAAAAGTGTAGGGTTTAGGGTTTAATTTTGAGGGTTTCGGGTACCTACCGAGTTTCATGTTGAGGGTTTAGGGTTACGTGTTTAACCCCGAGGGTTTAGGGTTTAGGGTTTAGGGTTTAGGGTTTAGGGTTTCGTGTCTGGGTATAGGTATAAACTTTAAGTTAAATTTTTTGCGGCGGAGAAAAAAAATTTGGGTCCCCCAGGGGCCCTCGCGGCCCCAGGGTTTGGGTAGCATGGATACGGAGTGTACATACACCTGGCCTTTGTATACATGCTGCTGCTGCTGCTGCTGCTGCTGCTGCTGCTGCTGTCGCTGCTGCTGCTGCTGCTGCTGCTGCTGCAGGGTTGTGTTGCGGGGGGTTGGGTACGGAGGGGTTAATATGAAAGACCCCTGCGCTGTCTTTCGCAAACAAAAATCACCAAAGTAAGAACAAGAACCTCCTCTGCTGCTGCTGCTGCTGCTGCTGCTGCTGCTGCTGCTGCTGCTGCTGCTGCTGAGGGGGGGAGGAGCAGCACAGCTGCCTGCTCTCAGGGCCCGGTTCGGCAGCCGCCGCTGCTTATCTAACACAGCCTTCCTCGCCCAGTGCCTCACGAAGCGAACAAACTCCTTGCTGCTGCTGCTGCTGCTGCTGCTGCTGCTGCTGCTGTTGCTGCTGCTGCTGGTGATGGCGGTGGTGGTGGTGGTGGCGGTTAGGGCGGTGCTGCTGCAACCGGGAAAACATAGAGGTGCTCTGTACGCTGCTGTTGATAGAAACACTCCGTTGCTGCTGCTGCTGCTGCTGCTGCAGCTGATGCTGCTGCTGCTGATGCTGCTGCTGATTCTGCTGCTGCTGCTGCTGCTGCTGCTGCTGCTGCTGCAGGCGCGGGTGTACGCACACAGAACAGAAGGGGCCCTTAACATATTCATGAGGGGAAACCCAAGGGTTTAGGGTTTAGGGTTTAGGGTTTAGGGTTTAGGGTTACATAGCCTGCAGAACCATTGGCCATCGATGCAGCGGCAGCTGAAACAAAACTTTAGGGTTTAGGGTTTAGGGTTTAGGGTTTAGGGTTTTATTATATTAAAATAAATAAAAATATATTAACCCCTAAAATAATTTTGTTTTTTTATATATGCTGCTGATGAGTGGGGCTGCATGCGCTCGTAAGCCCTAAACCCTAAACCCTAAACCCTAAACCCTATAAACTAGAGGCTAAACCCTAAACCCTTAACCATAAACCCTAGAAGGCAATTCGAAAACCCTGAACCCTAAACCCTAAACCCTAAACCCTAATATAAAAATATAAAATTAAAACTATACACACAGGGCTCTATAAACCCTAAACCCTCAACCGTAAACCCTAGAAAACCCTAACTCTCTCGAGCCCTAAACCCTGCTGCAGCAGCTGCTGCAGCTGCTGCTGCTGCTGCTGCTGCTGCTGCTGCAGCAGCACTTCGGGTGCTGGGGGGAGGGCCTTCTCTGCTGCTAGGAAACATACAAACAGCAGCAGCAGCAGCAACAGCAGCAGCAGAATTTCTGCTGCGGGTAAACTGCTGCAGCAGCAACAACTGCAACAGCAGCAACAACTGCTACAGCAGCAGCTGCGGCAGCAGCAGCAAGAACTGCAGCAGCAGCAGCTGCGGCTGCAGCACGAGCTGCAGCAGTCCCGGGTAGCAGCAGCACAAGCATCATCAGCAGCTGCAGCAACAGCAAATCATTCAGGAACAGCAGCAGCAACAGCAACAGCAGCAGCAGCAGCAGCAGCAGCAACAGCAGCAGCAGCAGCAGCAGCAGCAGCAGAGTTGATAGCCCTCGGGCATAGAATGCCCCTGAGCTTTTTTTTTATGTTTTTGTTTTTTTATTTATTTTCTTTGTCTGCTTCTTCTCTCTCGCGTCCCTTAACAAAACACCGCTGGGGTTTATCTTTTTTGCTGCAGAAGCCTCTATACAGCAGCAGCAGCAGCAGCAGCAGCAGCAGCAGCAGCAGCAGCAAGTGCAGCAGCAGCAGCAGCAGCTGCTGCTATCCCATCCTATTGAACTGTAGCCCCCTTAACAGCTTCTGCAGCAAACAGCGAACTGCAGCAGCAGAACCGCTGCCGTTCAAACAGCAGCAGCAGCAGCAGCAGCAGCAGCAGCAGCAGCAGCAGCAGCAGCAGTCTTTCCTTCTCGCCACATCGAGGACCCTCAGGTCTGCTGCTGCTGTTGCTGGTCGCCTCTCACCGATGCAGTGCAGCATGCAGCAGCCAGCAGCACCAGCAGCAGCAGCAGCTGCTGCTGCTGATGCAGCAGCAGCAGCGACAGCAGCAGCAGCGACAGCAGCAGCAGCAGCAGCAGCAGCAGCCCCTGCTGCTGCTGCTGCTGCGGGTCCTTCAGTTAGTTACGGGGGTCCTTTCCTTATGACGATTTCGGGGGATGCAGCAGCAGCAGCAGCAGCAACGGCAGCAGCAGCAACAACCACAGCAACAGCTGCAGCTGCAGCAGCAGAAACACCAGCAGCAGCAAAAGCTGCAACACCAGCAGCAGCAACAGCAGCAGCAGCAGCAGCAGCAGCAGCAAAGCGTCTGAAGCTGCAGCTCTTTTGGAGGGGGAAACGAATCATTTTAAACAGGCCAGCTAACGGTAAGCAGCAGCAGCAGCAGCAGCAGCAGCAACAGCAGCAGCAGCAGCAGCAGAAAGAGAAACAGCAGCAAGGACAGTACATATCATGAGCAGAGAAACAGCAGCAGCAGCAGCAGCAGCAGAATCAGCAGCAGCAGCAAAAGCTGCAGCAAGAACTTATTTTCCTCCGTAGGCTTCTAATGGCGGTTTTCTTGCTGCTGTTGCTGCTGCCGTTGCTGCTGCTGTTGCTGTTGCTGCTGCTGCTGCTGTTGCTGCTGCTGCTGCTGCTGTTTTTGTTTCTTAGAAAAGGTGTCGTCGCTGCTGGAGCGGTTGCTGCTGTCTTGCTGCCTCTCTGCTTCTTCTCCGTCTGCTGCTGCTGCTGCTGCAGCAGCAGCAGCAGCAAAAGACAAAAAGAAAAGAAAGGCAGAAGCAGCAGCAAAAGCAAAGGAAAATAAAGCAGCAGGCGCTGCAACAAACCCCAACAAATTCTTCTTCGTAACGTGCGCCCATGCTGCTGCTGCTGCTGCTGCTGCTGCTACTGCTGCTGCTCTTGTTGCTGCTGCTATTGCGGCTTCTCCGTAGCCACTGCACTTCCTGCTGCTGCTGCTGCTGCTGCTGCTGCTGCCCTATCAGACGTGTTGTTTCAGCGGCAGCAGCAGCATCAGCAGCTGCTGCTGCTGCTTTGTTGCGTTTTTGGTGTTTTGCTCTTTGGTTTTATGATCTGCTGCTGTTGCTGCTGCTGCTGCTGCTGCTGCTGCTGCTGCAGTGCAGCAGGAGAGTTGATAGAAGGAGACTCGCTGCTGCTTCACGCCGTAGAGAAGGCTTCGCTTCTGGTGTATTGTGAGCCTGAGCAAGCAGCAGCAACAGCAGCAGCAGCAGCAGCAGCAGCAGCAGCAGCTGCTGCTGCTGCTGCTGCTGCAGATGGAGCGGACAAATCAGCAGCAGCAGCAGCAGCAGCAGCGGCAGCTGCAGCAGCAACAGCAGCAGCAGCAAACGCCGGATCAGAACATGACCCCAATGCTGCATCAGCAGCAGCTGCTGAGCCTGCTGCTGCTGCTGCTGCTGCTCCTGCTGCTGCTGAATCTGCTGCTGCTGCTGAACCTGCTGCTTGGTTTATGGGGGTCCTAAACCCCCCTTCTGTCTCTCGCGTGTTCGTCGCCAACAACATATACACCGAGTACGTTTTTTCTTTTTTTTTTTGTTTTTTGTTTTTTTTTGTTTTTTTTTTTTCTTTATACTATTCTTTGTCTCCTTTGTCTCCTTGCCTACTGCTGTCTCCTTTTTCTTTTTTATATTTTTTTTTTTCTGTCTCTCTTTGTCTGTCTTCATTTATCTCTCTGTCTTTCCTTTTCTGCTGCTGCTGCTGCTGCTTCTGCTGCTGCTGCTGCTGCTGCTGCTGCTGCTGCTTCTCAGGTGTCCTGTTCTTGCTGCTGTGGAGACGACCAACGGCGATCCAGAACAATTTCAGATCATATGGTGCTGCTGCTGCTGCTGCTGCTGCTGCTGCTGCTGCTGCTGGTGTTCTGTTGTGCTGTTGCTGCTGCTGCCGTTGTTGCTGCTGCTGTTGCTGTTGTTGTTGCTGCTGCTGCTGCCGCATTTGCTGCTGCTGCTGTTGTTATTTCTGCTATGCTGCTTCTGCTGCTGTACTTTTTGTGGCGGTTGCTGCTGCTGTTCTTTTTGCTGCTGCTCTTTCTGATGCTCTTGCTTTTGTTGCTGCTGCTGCTGCTGTTTTTATCTGCGTTTGTCTTTGTCTTTTTATTTTTTTTATTTTTTTTTGTTTTTTTTTATTTTTTTTAGTGTATCTACACTGTGCATGAGTTTGCTGCAGGCAATATGCTGATTCAACAGAGCCAGCGGGGTTTGGGCCGGTAAGGCTTGCTGCTGCTGCTGCTGCTGCTGCTGCTGTTGCTGCTGCTGCTGCTGCTGCTGCTATTGCTACTGCTGCTGCTGCTGTTGCTATTGCTTCTATTGCTGCTGCTGTTGTTGCTGCTGCTCTTGTTGCTATTGCTGCTGCTGCTATTGCTGCTGCTGCTCTTGCTTCTGCTGCTGCTGCTATTGCCGCTGCTGTTGATGCTGGTGCTTTTGTTGCTGCTGCTGCTGCTGTTGCTGCTGTTGCTGCTGCTTTATATTTGTTTTATTTCTCTGTCTGTCGTTCAGTTGGAGTTCATTTATTTTATTTTATTTTATTTTTTTATTTTATTTTAATTTCTTTTCTTTTTAATTATACTTATGCAATCTAATTTTATTTATTTTAATTTATTTTAATTTATTTTAATTTATTTTTATTTATTTTTATTTATTTTTATTTATTTTTATTTTTTTTTTTATTTTTTTTATTTTTCTTTTGTAGGTTTTCGTGCCGTCGCCGGAGGCGGAGGGGAAGACACTGCAAGTTCAGGGTTTGTCTTTGTCTTTGATTTATTTTTTTTTTTATTTTTTTATGTTTTGTCTTTGTCTTTATTTTATTTTATTTTATTTTTATTTTATTTATTTATGTTTTGTCTTTGTCTTTACTTTATTGTAGTTTTTATTTTATGTATTTATGCTTTGTCTTTGTCTTTATTTTATTTTATTTTATTTTATTTTATTTTATTTTATTTTATTTTATTTTATTTTATTTTATTTGTTTATATCTTGTCTTTGTCTTCAATTTATTTAATTTATTTTTTTTAAATTTATTTATATGTTATGTCTTTGTTTTATATTTTATTTGTTTGTTTAGTTTTTCCGTTTTTTTATTGCATTCACATAAACAAAACCAAAATAATAAAATAAAAATAAAAATAAAATAAATAAGATAGAGTTAATACATATATGTATATACATATATATATATATATATATATATATATATATATATATATATATATATATATAT